GCATCTACACAAAATGTCCCTTTTCCTTCTATGTGCTTGCCTGATTCTAGAACCAATCATGTGACTACCAGCTTTTCCTGTTGTCAGTTGAGCCTGCTGTTGCAGGGGAGAAGATGGTTAGCATCTATTGTCTGGGACAAAGCTGCTACCTCCATTTTGGCCGCAATCCATTTTTCTGGTTGTGGTAAAACCCATTGTGGGAATATTTTCAGCGGTGACACCCATCTAAGGAGCTGCTCAAGGGGAGTCCTCTAATGGTCCAAGAGAGGTACCAAAATGCTGAGCCCCAAATCAACCTTACATTTTAATTTGATGCAAGTGACATTTTAGTTTGAAATAAGCCTTGTACCTAAGAAACCAATTTTTAACTTTAGAAAGAGGGTACTGATCCTTTGTTAGTTGTAATAGGGTTTCCTACATGCTGGGAAATGTAAGTAAGAACAAGAAATGTCAAGGCTTGTACACCCCTGCTCTTTAACCCCAGCATCAATTTTTTGGAAATTACATAGTTACATAGTTAGTCTGGCTGAAAAAAAGACAAAAGTCCATCCAGGTTCAACCATTAAAAAAAAAGTTATAATCCTATACCCAGTCAGGGTCATGGATAAGGGGGTACCATTGCAGTACTCCTGTACAGGGCCCAGGCCAGCAGGGGTGCCCAGGATGAATCGGATGTGGGCAGGAGGGCAATTTTGGCAATTCCTGAGGTACTGATCCCCCTGTACGGTATTCTCTCTGCAGCAGTCTGAAACCTGGCTTCTTCTCCTCCGCTCTCTCCACTGGCTTTCAGCTGCTGCAGAGACAGAGCCATACAGAGAAACAGTTCAAACTTAATTGCCCCCCCATCATACATTTCTCCCATCTGCCTATCCAGAACCCCCTGTGTGCCCCCAAGCTTCGCAAATGTTTGCCGAGCTTTCCTCCTCTCCTTCCCAACAGCATCCGCGCAAACACACAATAGATCCTGCAGGATGGAGAGTGGGGGAATATTTTACATTTACCAGACCCCTTCCTTTTCTAAAATGCACAATGAGTGATTGTACTGATCACTCACTGTGTTCATTCATAACTGAAACACCCGTAAACTGTTCTTTTTTTTTGGGGGGGGCTGTCAGGTTTTGCTCTATGGGGCCCTGTGGTTTTTGGGGGGGGGGGGCTGTCAGGTTGGCTGTATGGGGCCCTGTGGTTTCTAACAGCAGTCCTCTGCCCATAGTTGACTCCAGAAGAAGGCAAAAAACCTAGCAAAAGCAAAGATCCAAGTTTGCTCCTGCAGGGAAAAAAATCTCCTTCCTGATCCCCGAGAGGCAATCGGATATTCCCTGGATCAACTTTACCTATAAAATTGTTAGTATCCAGTTATATTGTGTGTATGGTAATGAGTTATAGTTATTAAGTTATGATTAACAGTTGTTGATTTGATTTTGCAAACATCAGAACATTTATGGATGCCTTAGAGCTCTCTCTTCTCTCTTGCAGGTAATTAGAAAATAATGTTTATTCTCCAGCTTGACATACGGAAACATAAAATGAAGCTTAGAAATATGCTCAGGAGCAGACAGTTGTGTTATCATATTTACAGTAAACACTGATTTCTGCAAGTCTGATTCATAAAGTTCCATATCCACGTTGAGCTTGTTTTCTTTTCCGTGGTAACTACAGATCTGCACTAGGTGGGCACTGTGATAGGTGAGGGTCACTGGTTTATGTAGGGAATACACACCTGGCCTTCCTTTACAAGGCTCCTCTATACTAGAGTGTGCAGCCTGTGGGCTCACAAAGACCTGCCTTCTCTACTGTGTGCATTCATATTTTTAGTCAATGTTGAAAGGTTAGAGGCATGCTAATGGAAAATTTCCATATCTGATTCTTAAAAAAAATGGTTATGTATTACTACTGATGAGTCATACATTTCTTCATTTTGTTCTTAAAGTGAAATTAAATAAAATTTTAGATCAATTCAGTGAAAAATACTTATCAGGGAGGCATTATGTGGTGGTGGATTCAAAAAACAGAAAACCATTCATGTCACTTAGTAAAAGCAGATAATTGTGGCAGTTTTCCGTGTCTGTTTGACAATGTCCTACCGAGTTTTCACTTTCAATGAAGTCTCTGCTGATGTCAGTGATGTAGCGATGTCACTGCAGCCAGTGGTGTATTTAGGTTGTGTACTGTCCCTAGGCACACAAAAATCATACCCCCCCCTCTCTCGGTGCGGAAAGAGCCTGACATGTGACCAACACCAAGACCCCCCTCCCCTTGGAGAGAGCCTGACAGTGACCAGTTACACCCTGCCCCACACCCACCCCACCTGAGAGAGCATTTCTACTAATTACCCATGGGCAACAAAGACAAAGATACGCACCTTCACAGCTCTGGACATCCCCAGGAACGACAGTTCGGGCTCTGCATACACCATCAAGCAGCCCGCAGCCTCTCTCGGATCCCACCCGGTCCCCATACATCGCATATGTGCCCCTTGCAGTGCTGCCCCCCTTAAAAATGCCACCCTAGGCAAATGTCTTGTTTGCCCTGTGGTAAATACACCCTGACTCCAGGACATGTATTTTTAGGTTTTAATTGAAATTTCTGTGCATTACTGCATGACTATTAAAATGTAACCAGAAGTGGAGATTAGATCATCTTTAAAGGTTCTCTTCCAACAGTGATCTACAAAATATGTCCTTCAATTTAGCTTTGCAGGGTAGATCATGGATCATCAACATTGACGTGAAATAGTAAATGGATCCATTCCAGCTCTACAATACTTCCCACTGAAGAGCCAGTACCTTGTTCTGGAGCATCTAAATACAGCATCTGATAAATGGGGTTTCTTACTGTACGGTTTTGGAGGCTTTTCCAACCACACTATATGTTAGGAATGACTGGCCGAGCAATGGAGGGGACTCAAAACCTCCTTTTTGATCTGCAGTACCAGGGCTGGCCAGCGGCGTGTTCCCCGCAATCAGAGACTCAACTCTGCGCAGCCAGCTAACACCTGTAACTGATGATGCTAGGGGTTATTTAAAGGGATGGCCAGACCCAAAGACTCTGCCTTGGTGTTGTGTTTGTCCTGGGCCCTGTATCTGTCCTGCATCCTGTTTCTGGTCCTTTGCTGACTTCTCCTGCTCTGATCCTCACTTGTGACCCTGACCATCCCTCTGTCTGACCCTCTGTACTCCTACGCTGCTTGCTACCTGTTCTGATCCCTGGCTTGTTGTGACCCGGACCATTCCCTCTGCCTGACCCTCTGTACTATGCTGCTTGCTACCTGCTTGAACCTGGCCTGATGACCCCGACCATTCTCCGCTTGCTCCCCCTGTAACCTACCTGCCCAATTGATATTGACCCGGCCTACCTGACGACTACTTGCTTGTATGTACTGTTATCTGTGGGTGGTTTGGTTTGGTTTGTTTTTGCACTGTATTATGTTTTAGTATTGCACTGCCGTTTATGTTTGTACTGTTAGTGTTAATAAATTAGATTGTTTATAACATATCTGAGGTCTGCGTTTCCCTGCTTCAGTCACACACCTTCTGGTCATACCTGGGAGCCCTGACATACAACCAAGGCCATCCCAGACCAGAAGTGGCTGCACAGGGAAGCCATCTTGGCTTTTGATGGGAAGGATGGATCTTGATGAGGTTGAGTATTTATATCTGCGCTAGTGTTTTGATGACAGGAGTATGCTTATCAAACTCTGAAGGAGTATACACCCGGGATGAATTGCTAGAATGTAAATACGCTCGCTTCAATGTTCTAGTAGATCAGGGCACAAGTGTTCTCTGAGGTGCACAGCCCAATTGATTGAGGTATTGTGCAGAGTTGGTTTCATCTGGTTCCCCCCCGAATGCAGGGATGAATTTTTGCCATCCATTTAGTGCAGACCAGGTAGAGTCCCTGGTGTGGTTTATTAGAGGATGGATGTGGGTTACTTTGCTGGAGCGTTAAGTCCACTTGTTCACCACAGACACTAGAGATTGTATAAACGCAGTGCAGTCATTGACAGACAGGCTATTGTGTAAGCGCAGCTTTGTTCAACCCCCTACTGCAGACATGGACAGTGGTAATATTTGTTTGCAACCCAGCCTCAGTCAGCTTACAAAGACCCAGTCCTGCTTCTAACTCTACTCCTGTAATCCCACCAGCTCCTCCAGTACAGCCCCAGTATACTTGGCTATCTACCGCATTACAGTACCCTGTTCCCACTCGCTGCACCTATCCTGCCATTAACCCTGTAAAAAAGCCCTCTGTCCACCCGCCACAACTGCTCCTCTCTCCTGTTCCATCCTCCAGTTCTTCTCTGTCTCCAGCTGCTCCATTCGTTTGCAGACCCCGTTTACTTGCAGTGCTCCAGTAGTTAAAACCAGAAAAAAGCGAAATTCTTTCCAACCAGTACCATCCTGCTCAGTATCCAAACCCGGTGAACCTGCCTTCCTTCCGGGTTCAGGGACTGATGCCCTGTACGCAGCCTGAAGCCTCTACTCTCGCCTGAAGTCCTCTACGCGGCCTGAAAGCCCTCCCCCCTCAGCCTGAAGCCTCTACTCGGCCTGTTGCCTCTCTACTCGGCCACGCCTGTTGCCTGTACTCCGGCCTGATGCCCTGTACTCGGCCTGATGCCTGTACTCGGCCTGATGCCTGTACTCGGCCTGAAGCCTCTACTCGGGGCGGCCTGAAGCCTCTACTTACTCGGCCTGAAGCCTGTACTCGGCCTGATGCCTGTGTACTCGGCCTGATGCCTCTACTCGGCCTGATGCCTCTACTCGGCCTGAGAGCCTCTACTCGGCCTAATGCCTCTACCCAGCATGATGAACTGATCCAGCCTGACGATCCTATTAGGCCGTTGACTCGATGCCCCGCTGTTGATCCAGATGATCCGGTAACCCTGATCCGGTTGCCCGCTGTCGGTGCCAATGACACGGATAAGCGGTCTGAGCCCACGTGCCTTGCCAGATGACGCGGTGCTCGCTGTCGAGCCAAATGACTTGAAGCCAGGTGACCCGATGCCCCGCTGTCCAGTCAGGACGATCCAATGTCTGACCCAGTGACCCCCGTGGTCATACAGTTGGACTCGGAGCCCCACTGCCTTGCCAGATGACGCGGTGCCCTATGCGGTCGAGCCAAATGACCTGATGAGCCTGGTGACCCGATGCCCGCTGTCCGGTCAGACGATCCAATGTCTGACCCAGTGCCCGCGGTCATACCAGTTGACTCGAGAGCCCACACTGCCGTTGCCAGATCCTGACGCGGTGCCCGCTGTCGAGCCCAAATGACCTGATGCCTGGTGACCCGATGCCGCTGTCCAGCGCCAGACCATACAATGTCTGACCCAGTGCCTGCGGTCATACCAGTTGACTCGGAGCCCCACTGTCGTGCCTGGTGACTCGGTGCCCCGCCGCTCCGCCTGGGGGCCCGAGAGACCTTGTATTGCTACTACTCCGCTTGGGGGTCCAGCGCCCGCCCGCCGCTCCCGCCTGGGGGATCCGGCGCCCGCCGCCCCGCTCCTGGGGGCCCTAGACCTGTCGCTACCGCCTGAGGGCCCGAGACCTGTCGCTCCCCGCGCCTGAGGGCCTGAGACCTGTCGCTCTCCACCTGGGGTCCGGCGCCCCGCCGCTCCGCCTTGAGGGCCCGAGACCTGTCGCTCCATTTGGGGGTCCGGTGCCCCACGCCCGCCCGCTCAGCGCCTGTGGGGCACGATGCCTGTCGCCCCGCCTGCTCACGGGGCACGCGCGCCCGCCGCTCCGCCTGGGGGCAGATGCCTGTACCCCTCACCCGCCCCGCTCTGGGGGCACGATGCCTGTCGCCCGCGCCCGGGGGCCCGGTGCCTGCTGCTACTCCGCCCGGGGGCCCGGTGCCTGCTGCTTCCGCCCGGGGGGGGGGCCCGGTGCCTGTCGCCCCGCCCGGGGGGCGCGGTGCCTGTCGCCTCGACGCGCTCCCGGCGGGCCCGGTGCCTGTCGCCGCGCCGGGGGGCCCCGGTGCCTGCTGAGCCCCCCGCCCGGGGCCCGGTGCCTGCTGCTATCCGCCCGGGGGGCCCGGTGCCTGCTTAGCCCCGCCCGGGGGGCCCGGTGGCCTGCTGCTCCGCCTGGTGTGGCCCGCTGCCCTGCTCAGCTTCGCCTGGTAATCCGATGTGCCTCTGCCCGGAGTCCCTGCCCATGTGCCTCTGTCCCGGAGTCCTGCCCGATGTGCCTCTGCCCGGAGACCTGCCCGATCGGTGCCTCTGCCCCGGTGTGCCTCTGCCCGGAGTCCTGCCCGATGTGCCTCTGCCTGGAGTCCTGCCGATGTGCCTCTGCCCGATGTGCCTCTGCCCGGAGTCCTGCTTCGATGTGCCTCTGCTCGATGTGCCTCTGCCCGGAGTCCAGCCCGGTGTGCCCGCAGCCACTGCCCGGAGTCCTGCCCGTTTGTGTGCCAGTCTTTGATAATCCCGCCAGTTGCCAGTGGCGAACCCGGGCGGTGGAACCATTTTTGCCCAGCTAGGACTGTTTGGAGCGTCCTGAGGCCGAACTCCTTGAGGGGGGGGTACTGTTAGGAATGGATCCACTGGCCAGCAATGGTGGGACTCACCTGCCTTTTGATCTGCAGTACCAGGGCTGGCCAGCGTGTGCCTCCCAGCAATCAGAGACTCCAACTCTGCAGCCAGCTAACACCTGAAACTGATGATGCTGGGGTATTTAAGGGGATGGCCAGACCACACAGACTCTGCCTTGGTGTTGTGTTTGTCCTGGGCCCTTGTATCTGTCCTGCATCCTGTTTCTGTTCCTTTGCTGACTTCTCCTGCTCTGATCCTGGCTTGTGACCCTGACCATCCCTCTGTCTGACCCTCTGTACTACGCTGCTTGCTACCTGTTCTGATCCCTGGCTTGTGACCCGGACCATCCCTCTGCCTGACCCTCTGTACTATGCTGCTTGCTACCTGCTGAACCTGGCCTGTGACCCGGACCATTCTCCGCTTGCTCCCCCTGTACCTACCTGCCCAATTGATATTGACCCGGCCTGCCTGACGACGCTTGCTTGTATGTACTGTTATCTGTGGGTGGTTTGGTTTGGTTTGTTTGCACTGTATTATGTTCTAGTATTGCACTGCGTTTATGTTTTGTAACTGTTAGTGTTAATAAATTATATTGTTTATAACATATCTGAGGTCTGCGTTTCCCTGCTTTCAGTCACACACCTCTGGTCATACCTGGAGCCCTGAACACTATACACTATTGTGTACAGCCCTTAATGAGGAGGACTACATATAGGAAATGCATTTCCCAAGATTTTGGAAAAGGATACATTCCCAAAAATATAATATATAAAAAAAATATTTTTATAATTTAAAAAAATTAAAAAAAAGTCACACCAAGACCAGCAGTAAATGGAGGATGGAGCTTTACAGTATATCTCTGCATTAAAATGTTTGAAAGGAGAAGGAACTAGTATCTATGATCACTCAATCTAGCTTCAATTGGAGCAAGTTGAAGAATATGCTGGCTAAACATTGGCATGTTTAACAAGTATGTCTGAAATTGCAGAAATAGTAAGGACCTATACTCACAGCTTCCTGGCCTGGAAAGTACATTATGTCATTCAGAATTTACCAGCTACCTGGGTACAGTGCCCCTGTTAGTTTGTAAGTAAAATCTGCCCCTTGAAATGCATAGAAAAGGGCTGGAGGTAATTAATTACGTAAAAAACATTTAATATTGTACAAAACAAAACACTTACTATCAGGTCCAGGATTTAATCTGACATTAAGAATCAAGAAAAAAAAGCCCCTTCACATATAATAAAAAATTACCTTGCCTTCAATGTTGTGAGTAAGTCCACATGTGCTGCTGTGTCCTGGTTTAGAAATCTTCCTCCTTCGATGCTTCCCCCCACCGAGCCCTGCCTCTGAACAATTCTCAGTGTGGTGGGGGTTTTAATAGAACTAAGGGTGCTTGAGGACAGGCACAGATCAAGTGAGCCTGACTATGTTCACCCTTTCTTTCTGCCCCTTCCTTCTTCATTCATAGAGCTATACATCCTTTCTATGAATGGAGAGGGGGAAACCTTTCAATAAAAACCCTCCTATTCACGATTGTGAAAAATGTTTGTCTAGGTTTCATGAAAAGAAGGGGTTGGGGGAAGGTAGGTATAGTTGGATGTCCTTGTAGTGCCCGCACGGCTTTTTTGCTTATAACCCCCAAACACTTGGCAGAGAGTTGGGAAACAGAGAGGAGGGTTTTATTAAACCCGAAGCAGCGCG